CTAATGGACTTGTTATGGATATTGATCAAGACTTAATCTTTGAATTATCACAGTCTGTATCTGCTGATGTTGATGCAGCATGTGAAATTGCAAGAGCAGCAGCTGGTGATATTGTTGAAGCTGCTATTTCACAAGCACAAACAGATGCAAGAATGTTAGTTTTTGGAGCACAATCAATGGGACTTGCAATGGGAAATCCTGAATGTCAATCAATAATGAATGATCTTTTAAGTAAATGTAAAAATTCAAGTATCAGTTTATTAGAAACTTCACAATTAAAAGGAACACCACAAGGAGGACCTTTAGAAGAAGATATTGATGATATTTGTAAAAATTGTGATTTAATGGATAATTTCATTGAAGAGATTAAAGATGACAAAATTAATAAAAGAAAGAAATTCCTTGAATCAGCTGGTGGTTGTTTGCAAATGGCTGATTGGTTATCTACATTACAAAATATGAGAGTTGAAGATGTTCAACGTGCTGCATTAGAAATGAAAAAGGATATTCCAACTATTGTTAAATATATGAAAGAATCTACTGCTAGTGTTGAAGTTGATGATGCTAAAAGAGCATTTATTATTGGAAACTTAAAAGATATGACTTCTAACGCTAAAATAATATTAACAAATGCAGATCAAACAGTTTATAGTCCTAATAAAAATGATGATATTAGAGAAGCTGCTGGATTAACAGCTGATGCAATTAAAGCAGTTTTAGGAGATGATGTTAATGAAGTTGTTCATCATTCTATGTATACTGATTCAAAGAAAGCAGCTATTGCCTCACTTAAAATGTCTCAATTATTAAAAGCAAAATCAAAGAATGAAAAGAATGCTAAATATGCTGATCAAATACTTAATGCTGCACGTACTGCTTCTCTTATTACTTCAAAATTACTTGAACCAGTTGAAGATGATGAAGATGAAAGAAAATTCATGGAAAAGTCATTAGCTATTGCTAATGAATATGACCCATTCTCTAAAAGTATTGATGGACTTGTTGATCAATTAGAAGAAGGAAGAGGTGATATAATTGAAGATAAAATGCAATTAGATTTAATGATGGCTAAATTAGAACAAGATGTTAATACATTCCAAAGAGAAGATATGTTATCTTCATTACATACTGCTGGAATGGATTATAGAATGGCTGCTGTTGAATTAAAGAGAGAAATTCTTGTTGTAGATTCAGCAAATGAACTTGAAGAAAGTGGTATTAAAGAAGAGCTTAATGAAGAAGCATTAAAAGCACTTGAAGAATTTACTCAAGCAAGACATCAATTAGATAATATTTCTGCTTTTGATTATACAACTCAAGCAAAAGTTGAAGATGTTGCAGAAAAATCTAAAAAGGTATTAAAAGCACTTATTAAAGCAAGTAGAACATCAAAGAAAAAGAATGAAAGAAAAATGTTACTTGATGCAGCAATGAAATTAAGTAATGAAATGGCTCGAATGCTTAGTGCAGTTGATGAAGAATCAATTGGTAATCAAATAAATATGAAAGGAATTGATGCTGATTTAGTTAATGCTGAAAAACAAATCACTAATATTTTAAAGATTGATGATTTGGTTGATATTGACCTTGGTAAAGCAATGACTGTGGAAATTACTTCTGAAGAAATGGAAGCTGAAAATACTGCATTAACAAAAATGCAAACTGTTACTAGTGAAATAGATTCTATTTATAAAGATATGCAAAAAGACATCCAAGCTAAAAAAGAAGCTGCTGAAGCAAGTGAAGATCCTAAACAAATTGTTGAAGCTACTTTACAAGAAGCAGTTCTTGTTATGGTTGGTTCATCTATTGGTGTTTTATCTACTGCTACTACAGCACAAGCAGAATTAATTCAACAACTCCAAAACTCTGAAACTGCGAGTGGTGTTCATAGAGATAAAGAATATGCAGAGGAATTAATTAAAGCAGTAGAAGATGTTAAAAGTACTGCAATTGAATTACAACAAAAAATTAAAGAAGATAATGTTAATTCTGATGAATTAGTTAAAGTAGCTGATAAAGTTGGTAAGAAAGTGGAAAAAGTTGTTGTGTCTTGTAGAGCTGGAACAAGAACTAAAGGAAGAAGTCATAAATACAAAGATCTTTTGGATGCTTCAAAGAAACTTGCTGATGCCACAAAGAATCTCTTAGAATGTGCTAAAAAGGTAGATGAATTTGATGATACACCTGTTGTTGTTCAAATGAATTTACCACCACCACCTCCTCCTGTCACTGAAGTTGAGGAAGAAGAAGATATCGAAACATTTGGTATTGACCAATATACTCTCAAAGAAATTGAACAACAAAAGAAAATCTTTGAATTAGAAAAGAAATTAGAAGCTGCCAAAAAGAAGAAAGCAGATTTAGAAGAACTTGCTAAATCTTTCCAAAATTAAATCACTTTTTTTACGTTCAAAAAATAAAAGTTATTTTATTTTTTTTTTTTAATTCATTAAAATATCTTTTTTAAAAGCTTGATTAGAAGAGGAAAGTGACAAGTGAAAAGTATCGATGTTTGAATGATTAATTCTGATTGATGAAAAAATGACAATCCCAAACCCTCCAGATCACTAAACTCATAGACTTTATGTGCTTCTTGTGTGACATCCAAACCGCTAGAAACCAATTAACTCCCCATGATGAACGACCCCAATGCCTTCTTGAGGAAGGAGTCAATGTACTAACTCATTTGTTTGGGATTTTTTATGCTATTTTTATATTTAAGATGTTTAGAAGATATGCCAAAAAACACAATTTAAATAAAATGAACAACTTAGCAATATTGTGTTTCTGTCTTGCTTCATTTACTTTATATTTCAATTCTACAACTTATCACTTATTAAATATTCTTCTTCCTAACAGTATTTGTCTTAGATATTTCTTTCAAAGACTAGACCATATCACTATTTATATCATGATTTCTGGTTGCTATTTATGTTTTATCTTTACAAGAACATTTGCAAAGGGATATTTCAAAACAGGCTGTTTAGCTATTTTCATAGTTGTGGCATTGGCTTTAATTGGATTTATATTTACTATCTTTGCTCCACCAACAACAAGAACAGATGTCATTATGTATTTGGCTATGGGATGGTCGTGTGTTCTTTATGGTCCATTAGTATTTTATTTCTGTCCTCTTTCATTAGTTTTTTATTTACTTACAGGAGGAATTTCATATGCTATTGGCACTATCTTTGTTGCTTGGGATCAGTTAGTTTGTTGAATTATTCAAATTTTTTTATTATTTCTTCAAGTGTGTCTCTCATTTATAGTTCTTTAATCATGGAATTTGGCATCTCATTGTTTGGTTTGCAAACTTCCAACACTCTCTTGGGGTATTGATTGCAATTGATGACGAAGAGATTAAAGGATTAAAACAGCCATGGAGTGTTATGAAAGAATTATTTATTGAATATATCTCACTTTCAATAAAAAATAATGATAGTGTTAGCCATCCTTCAATCCAAAGAGAAGAATAACAATTATTCAGTAAATAAATACTTTTAAATATATGAAAAATTAATTTAACTTTTTTTTTTGTTTTTTTTAGCATTTTTAAAACCAAAACAAAAAAGAGAAGAAAGTCCATACGTTATGAATAAAAATAAGATTTAAAGGAGTGAGATGGCTCCAACTAAGGGAAGAAGAATTAGAAAGTATTTCTAGGAAATTATAACAGTCAACAAAGATTATTTTTAATGATAAACATACCCTGTTTAACCCTAAAAACAAAGAAGAAATCAAATAGATAGATATGGACACCACAATATTCCATTTTAAATTAACTCCTGAAGAAGCTGACCATCTTGAACATTATAAAATACAAACAAGAGATGAGTCAATTATTAATAATAAAATTAATATTCCTTATCTCTTTATTCCAATTAATAATATTATTCCAAAATGGGTAGTTCCAAATATGATTACATTAAGTGGGAATGTAATGCCAATTCTTGCATTTACATTAATGACAATATTATATCCAGATTATTCACAACCACTTCCAGCATGGATGTGTATTTTTAATTCATTTTCAATTTTATGGTTTTGGATTGCTGATTCATGTGATGGTATTCGTGCACGTTCTTCTGGTATTTGTTCACCAATAGGAGATTGGTTAGATCATTCATTAGATAATGTAACATATTTTTGTTTTGTAGGCTTTTTAGATCATATGTTTTTATGTAATAGTGTTATTAAAGACATGTTGATTGTACTATTTATGGTATACACATCATATTGTGTACAAATACAAGCAATTTATACACATGCAATTAATCTTGGTATTATTAATGCTTCATGTGAAGGAATTATGGGATTTATTGGATTAGTCTTTTTAAGTGCTTTTATTCCATTTTATGATTTTAAGTTATTTGGTATACCAGTGTTTCAATTACTTCTTCCTATTATTGGAGGATTATTAGTGATTCATACTCTTGTAATGATTAAAGGAATTAAAAATGATTTCCCAGATAAACCAGAATATATAAAAGAATCAATAGAGATGTTAATTAATTCTATGGTATGTGTTTTTGTTGGAATACTCTTCTATTATTCCTTCTGTAATGAATTTACAACAACTAATTATATCTTTAACAATTTATGGATTTATTTCTGTTCATTGATTTATGTCAATATGATTATTCAATCTCGTTTATTTGGTAGGGACATTCCTAAATTATATAATATGAAATTCCTTATTGCATTACTCACACCAATTGTCCTTATTTGTTTCTGTTCATTCACTACTTCTGTAATAATAGGAGCTGTTGTAGGTGGAGTTGTGATGTGGACTGATTGGATAGCAACCCTTCTTTCAATGTTAGATGGACTTCATTTAAAATTATTCCAACATGAGCCAACTCGTTTTGCACCAAAGAAGAATTGAATTGTTAGATAATTTTTTTTTGTCATTAAAAAGAAATAAAAAAAAAAGAGAAATATAAAAAGAAGAAGTAAAAAAAACTATAAAATGGTAATACAGTTTTTGGTTCAAATAGATGTCACAAAGAAGAAAACAACATAAACATAATGAAATAGATAGATTTAAATTATTACAAAATAAAACAATTATTCAAAGAAATCTTGTTTATGTAACAAATATTGCTTATAATATTGTTGAAGGATTAACACTTCAAGAAATTTCAGAACGATTAAGTCGATTTGAATTCTTTGGACAATACGGAGAAATTATTAAAATTATTCCAAATATTAAAACATTACATAATCTTCAATCAACTACTGGACCATCATTTTCAGCTTATATTACTTTTAAAACTGCTGAAAGTTCTATACAATGTATAAGATCAACTAATGGAGGATGGTTAGCTGGTAAAGTTTTAAATTCTTCATTAGGAACAACAAAATATTGTTCACATTTCTTAAGAGGAAAACAATGTATTAATCCTGATTGTACATATTTACATCAATTAGTGTCAGAAAAAGATTATATTACTAAAGAAGAATTAAGTGCAGGAAAAAATAGAATTGATGATAATATTTCACAACATATTTCTATCGACTCTGAAGGTAATAATTATCTTCCACCAATATTTACTATTGAACCAATAGAAATAGATTTAGACACTTTTCAAACAGACAATCCTGTATTAATCAAAATGGTTAATAGATTTAAAAGAATATTTGTTCGTGATTCAAATCCTCATTTACCTGTCCATTCTTCATTATCTCCATTACGTGCTTTTAGATATGACCAAAGTGATTCTACAGTAATTAAATCACCAAATTATATATTTTTCTTATATAACACACGCACTACAATTGATCCTGAAGTTCAAATACCAAAAGAATGGACAGATTGTAATAAAATAACTAAAAAAGTTAATACTCATCATGAAGAAATCAAAAATGATATGAATGAAAGTAATGAGGAAATAGAAGAAAGTACAGAAGAAAGTGGTAATCAAACAAAAGAAGATACATGTAAAGAAGAAACAACTACTACATTAGATGATACTTCTGATAGTGAACAAGTTATTATTAAAGATGAATATAGTGAAAGTGGAAGTCCATTTTATGGAGAGGCTGATAAACCATTTATTTGTAAAGACTATTTACATACATTTGAAATATTAAATGCATATAAAGGAGATGTTGAGTCATTAATATCATATTCTAAGAGAAATGAATTAATAAGAGACAATAGAAGTTCATTTGATCTTACTAACTTTCAGTATATTAAATTATTAATTGATAAAATTATTACTTCTGATGAACTAGAAGCACAAGAAGAAAAAGAGCAACTTGAAGAAAAGGAAGCAGAAGAAGAAATAGAAACACCGCCAATTCAAGAAGATGCTGATGAATGGGTAACTGTTGGAAAAGGAGTTTCATGGAAAAAAATCAAACAAAATAAGAAACCAAAAGCAAATGAAATTTTTATAGTAGAAGAAGATAATGAAGTAGAAGAAAGTGATGAAGAACCAGAAAACAAAGAGACTAAAGAAAAAGAAGTTAAAGAAGAAAATAAAAAGGGAAAAGAAATAAGTGGTAATACCGAAGAAGAAAAGAAGGAAAATAAAAAGGTTTTATCTAAAAGAGAAATTGAAAAGAAGAAAATGAAAGAAATGGAAGAACGAAGAAGAGAAATGGAACTTGAACGACAAAAGAAAGAAGAAGAGGAATTAAGAAAACTTGAAGAAGAACAAATGAAAGAAGGAGAGGAGAGTGACAATGAAAGTAGTGAAAAAACTAAAACAAAAGAAAATGATGAAACGAATAAAAGAAATGAATCAGAAAGAAGTCATTCATCAAGTAAAAAGAAAAATAATTCAAAAGGAAAAAAGAAAGGTTCAAAGAAGAAAGGTGGAAGTAAAAAACAAAATGTTTCACCTTCTATTAATGAACCTAAAAAATCAGATGTTTTAGAACCATCATCTAAACCACCCTCTCGTCCTATTCCTAATAATAAAAGAAGAGTAATTATTGATCCATTAGAACAACTAGAAAATAATGTAAAAGACTTACACAAACTATATTTAATGCTTGTAGAAAAAGCTAATATTCAACTCCAAGTATTAAATGAACGAAAAATAGAAGTTCAACCAATAGTATGTCAATATCCAGATTCATATTTTATGGTTGATCATTGATTTGTATTTTATTTTTCATTTTAATTTGGTTTTTTAAAAAACACATATTACTTTCTTTTTATTCTTACTCTCTCTAAGGCATAAAACTCCTTTTATTAATTCATGACGTTATTATTACTTTTCAAATGAGTTAATCCTTGATGTAAGTCTTATGTCTGTAAATGCTCTTTTTTTCTTTGTATTGTTGAAGAAGTGTTTTTAATATTTTATTTTAATTTCTATACCAATGTAAATAATATCTCATTGATATTATTTATTTCATCAATTTTATTTATTTGTGTTGAGTGATTAAGCATTTCTCCAATCTAACATACCATAAAATTTGTTTAGAGCAGTAAGAATTGTAAAATTTTTTGATTTGAATATTATATCAAATTTTACAAAAAAGGATGAATTACAACGACATCACATAATATTTAAAACATATTCCAAATAAAGAAACATTTCATATCATTTAGTATTTTAAAAGGTGTTGTACAGAAATTGTTATAAACACATTTAGATTATGGTTTATTATTTATTCATCTTATTAATTGTATTATTATTTTTGTTTTATTTCATTATAATAACAATTTTAACATATTTATTTAACATATTAACTGTATTATGATAGAAAATAACAACATAATGAAATACAATAAATAATAACATGAAAAATAAACAATAAACAATATAATATAAAACAACAGAATAATAAAATAAAGAAGAACGTAATAATGTAAGAATAATATTAATGAAATAAAATGGGAACGAAAATAATCAAAGAAATAATGCATCCAAATAAAAATAAATAAAGAGAATAATATAATAAGAATGAAATAAAGAATAGAAATATACATTAGAAATAAATTTTCAAATATAATACCAAGAAATAAACATAATAAAGAA